AAAAAAAAAACAGACCTGCGACCTTGTGCTACTGACAATCACACTGTAAAACCACGAGATAGTTGATTGTGTGTGCCTGAAATTATTTGGCGATGACACTTAAATAGGACATTCTATAAACAGTTTCCCTGTTATATGAGTTTCTTACAGAGCGCCAGAAAAGTTCTGCATAGCCCTATTAGTAAACAGTCTCTTGACAGCAACCACATAACATTAACTTTCCCAAGGTCTGCAAGGTCAGATGTTGGAGCTTCGTCTCCCTCTAGTTGCCCCTAGCGAGGGCCGTAGGCGCGGATCACGGGCCTTATAATGCTCGTTGAAGTCCAGACGGAAACTGAGGAACTGAAGACTCTCATCCGACATTAGCAGCCGCAGAAACTCCTGCACTATGCCCTAAACAGAAACAACCATCTCAGGGTTAGATGAGCTTCAGGTGCTTGTTCGTACAAAATCTTGAGCTAACTAGACTCTAGCACGGAGTTCACATGTTTCTCTCTCTTGGTATTGTAACTGCCACCCAGGGACAACGGATTAAATTTATTTTTAGACTAATAATGTTACAGCAAATTTACTGTGAATTGTTCCTAAATAAATTAATAAATAAATATAATTTAAGATGTTAAATTTATGAATATAGGTGACTATAATCATTATTGATCAACATTAGCAGGTTTGAAATTATCAGTATCGGTTCGTATGTAAAGCAGATAATATCAGGACTTGTTTTAAATGGTAAACCATTTTTGTCAGGTTATGTGTCAAAAAGTTTTCAAAACTTTTATTCATCCGTTTTAATATACAGTACAGTTTTTAAACGGTCTATGTCAGATTTAAAAAGATTTTCAAAAATATTCTCTTCTTTTAATACTTTATTTTTTTAAATTACATTATACATTAATATAAAACTCTACTGCATTATATGCATTTTCCAAAAAATATATATTTTTTACATGTACATTTTTTAAAAACTTTTTTTGATAATATCAGTCATAACAAAAATAATTATCGATAACTGTCAAGACATTAGAATACTGAAAAGCGACAAAAGTTCACATGAAAATTCTGATTAATAATGAAATTTAATATCTCCCGTATTTTCACAAGATTATAGTGAGAAAACAAGGAGCACTTCTTAGTTTATTCCAAATATACTGATTACATTTGTATGACAAGAATATTCAATTAGCTCGAAAGCATATAAATGTCTTTCCAGAATAAAGAGTCAACCATAATATGGGCTTTAATCAGAAAATTGTTCGTATAAACATGATCAATGCTCATTCTACATTATTATCAGGCATGATATGTGGTGGGTATAAACCAGGTTCTGCTGTAATTGTATAAGATTCACATTAAGTGTTTGACTGTAGCAGACGTAATGTCTGGATCAGCATAAAACGCCCTACTGAACACCATTAAGCATGTTCTCTCACACTTATACCTGCTGGTTCAGCACTTTATCATGCATGCATGAAATGATATCAGTTTATTGGGTGAGCATATTAAAGTGTATGAAAGTGTGTGTAGGGTACCTGATAGAAGTGTGTGAGTAATCTGAGCTGAGAGCACATTTTTGGTATGGCGTCTTTAAACTCCTGCACACGTCTGTTCTCCTCGGCCTCCTGCTCTGCTGTTACACCCCACTCACCCTGAAACACAGAAACAAACACAGAAAAAGACACACTCTCACACATTTGTTTACAGCAATTTAGCTGACACGAGAGAAGAAGTAAAAAAAATCAATGGCAATAGAAAACCAACACCGTCCCCATAAAAAGACCAGCCACTTTCATTTTTGGCCTATACATTTGCTAATGGCCACTTTCCAGAGTAAAATAAAGGAGTGGAACATAATTCTCTTTGCATGGAGATAATCAGATGCCTTTTCAGCGATGGACCCTCTGAAAGTGTTACTTAACCATTAGTAATGTTCTGGCCTATAAGAAGTTGTGCTTTCTTTGAACTTCCGGTTATAGCAATGGATTTGGTAAGATTTTTGAAAAAAGTCTCTTATGCTGACCAAGCTGCATTTATTTGATCAAAATATAGTAGAAAGTGAAATATTATTGCAATTATAATAACTGTTTTCTATTTGAATATATTTTATTCCTGTGATGCAAAGCTGAATTTTCTGCATCATTACTCCAGTCTTTAGAGTCCTAATCCTTCAGAAATCATTCTGATATGCTGATTTACTGCTAATTTCTTATCTTTATCAGTGCCATTATCATCAGTGAAAACTGTTGTGCTGCTTAATATTTTTGTGGAAACCGTGATACATTTTCAATTTTCTTTAAAAAAAAAAAAAAATCCTCCCTCAGTTATAAGCAATATTTGTCTACAGTATTACACTTATAATAGAAATCTAGAGATATGAAGGTCATATTTTTGGTCAAGTACTTACTTTATTTTTCCATACAAAATGTGCATTATTTGAGCTGTAAAGTTAACTTGATGCAGTTTTACTGAGCTGGAGACAGACTCGTTTCATCTCATGACGCTGCAAGTAAAAGTGATGCTGTGCTTGTCTGTCACAAGTATGCAAGGAATAAACAGCACCCATTTTAAATAAACCAATTCTCATGTGGAGATGGCCACTAAAATATCTATAGCTGATAAATGTTCTCATTTCACCTGTCAAAATATGCAAAAATATTTTTTGGGCTGCAGGATGAAAGCATCATGATTACTATTCATTTTATACTAACACTAAATATGTCGAAAAGCACTGATTTGATTTACTGTCTATACATACCATTTCTTCCCTCTGTCTCTTCTTGTCCTCGAATTGGATGCGTAGTTGCAGCTCTTCTAGAGCAGAGCGGTACAGAGTGTCCTGAGCAGTCTGGAACTCAATGATCTGATCAAACACTGCGCGCAACTGATTCAACAGAGGCTGCAAACACACACAGAGGACGACAGAGTTACAGAAATGAGGGCAAGCATGAGGGATCAGCACCGGTACACAATTACCCTGTGTAAATGCATCGTACCCTGTTGTTCACATCCAGCAGGCAGCGAGAAATGATGGAGTCCAGGAAAACGTCATGAGCTGCTATAATGTGATCCAGATCCTGAGCCTGCTGAACCTTATTCCACAGCTCATCCCAAGAGCACTCCAACACCTAGAGTGACACAAACACAATACGATAAATAATCCAGCTCAAATGTTTGAAGGAGAAACAGGAGGCAATGCATACAGAGGGACGTACCTCAAATGTGATGTAATACTGCATCTGATGGATGAAGTGGACCATCTCGGAAGCGAGAACGTGACATTGGTGCAGCACACCAGAGAGCTCTGCACAAATACACAGCACACATCTTGTCTGTCTGCCGAGATAGCTAAATCTCGCAAACAGTTTAAGTTGGTTTTATAACATCTAACCCAATGAAAACTGCACTCACCCGGCATACTCTTCAGCAGTTTGGCGTTACACATTTGACCCTTCCATATATCTGTGAGGATGTACTCCATTCTTTTAGCTCTCCACAGGAAGTTGAACACTCGCAGGTAGTGGCTCATGCACTCACGGGTGAACACCTGACACAGGTATGACATGTGGTTAGGGATGCACTGATGGAAACTTTCTGGCCAATTTTGAAAAGCTGGTAATTGTTTTAAATGTCATGGCCGACAACCGTAAAAACTGTTGTGATTTTAACAGTAAAAGTGTAAAAAAATGCTACAGTAAAAACCTGTTAATTGGTTAACAGTAAGTTTCTGTATTATATACTGTGAGATACTATACAGACTGTATACAGTAAGATACTGTTAAAATTAGGGGGGGGGGTTTGGAAGTGAAAAAGAACAAGTTATTGTATAATTTACAGTAAACACTTAAACTGAACTGTAAACCGTACAGTGAAAAATTCCATGCATGACACCTCATATTTGATGTTTTTTCATTGAAATAACTGTTTTTCTTACCAGTTATGTTCATTATGGTTGTACGTTACATCTAATGTTGTTGAATGTTTATTGCATTATTTCAGTATCGTGTGTTACCATGATGGTGTTTAGTGTTTGTGCATCTTCTATATACTGTTTAAGTATTTCCCTCCTCAGCTTGTGGAAGAGCTGCTTATGAGTTTTGGTTCATCATGCGACTTTATCATTACCACCTTCTTTTGGTGGTTGTCAGTGTATTACAATGGTACAAAACACATGTTAGTACTTCAATACATTGGTATGTTAACATTATATCAGTAAATGAAATACAGTTTTTTACTGTGCATTTAAGTCAAGTCTGTAAAACCTAAAATGTTGCTACCATATTTTTTTACGGTGAAGTTCTGGCAACCACAGCTGCCTGTATTTTACCTTAAATGTCACCTTTTTTTTTTTACAGACTAAATAAATTAGAAATAAATACTAAAAACTAAAATCAATCATTTTAAAGACTACAAGTGAATTTAGGCATCACAACGTAATGTATGTAAAATCCACAGATTACATTACAAAAACAACAACTGCAAACAATTTTCACATTCTGGGTCATTTTTGACCCAGTGGAAAATAAGCTTATAAAATAGTCATAACTTGATATTTTTCAACAAAACAAATTGTGTCTGATGAATAATGATTGAATAACACATTAATAGGTGTTCAACATTATAGATGAATGCTGCAGTTAATCCAACACCTTGGCTCACTGAAATTTACTGCTTGGTTCTTGGACTGATACTCTGACAGCCCTTGGTCTGGATCCAAGTCTCAAGTGATCTAGTCTTGGACTTGGTATGGGTCTTGTTTCCAAGACCCAGACCACGACTAGACGGCTAAAAACTACGTATTTTTAGAATTTACCGTTTAATGTTTCAAATCTCTCCCAGGTCAAAACCTGAATGTGTTATGGGCTAACAGTAAGGATCAACTTTAAGTGAGGAGAAAAATCATGCTGCACGAAGACGGTGTTGTGTGGACTTCGTCGGTCTACTGGTGAGGAAAAATACATCATGCACAATGTCAGAGTTATAGGACAGAACTTGGATAAACAAAGTTAACTTTAGGCTTATGCCAAAAGAGTTTATTTACCGTGGCAATGGGCCCCTCTACATGATAATCCAAACTGAAGACGTCCCAACCAGTGTCTCCAGGAGAAACCTGGACACCAGATCCACATTCAGTGATGCACAATTATGTACTTAAACTTACAAATTAGTTTTGGACTCAGTCCCTTCTAAATACCTCCAGTAGCCGGACATCAAGCCTCTTCAGTATCTCCGGACTGTCAAACTGGGCATTGGTTGCTCTGACAGCAGTCTCCAGGATACCGGTTAGATTGTGTTGGTAAAGAGTGGTGGCAGCCCTCGCCAACTCTGGCCTGAGAGAGAGTGAGAGATTGATGACTCCAAGAAAAGAGAGGGATCTTTTATAAATCAGCAATAAAATCAAGTACACTCACATCAAGCTGAAACAGAGACGTCTATGTTTTAATGAGAGATCACCCATGAGCACACACAACTTACTTGAGGAGGTCCATGAGGTGTCGGATGAAGTCTCCCTGTCCCAGCAGCAGGTATCTCCTCATGGCCTGAAGATGCTCCAGCAGCTGGTAGTTCTTATTCAACACATCCAACAGATACTTACTGGTCTCAAAATATGCAGCATCAATCTTACTCTGAAAGGCTCCTTCCAGATCAGTGAACAACAATGACGCTGAAAACAAGATACACAGGGTGTTAAATAAAGGCAAAAACCAGGAAGAGAGAGAGAAAAAAAAAAAAAACAGGACAAGTAGAAAGAAAAGTGGTAAATGAAGAAAAAGTGAAGAGGAAAAGTGAGGCAAAGGAAGAAAAAAAAAGACAAAAAAATAAACTATTCTGGTTAATCCTTGTGGCAAACATTGCCAGAAATTTACTGCAAGATGACATTTCACATGCAAATAAGCAGTGACCAGGGTTACGATAAACTAAAAAGTAGAACAAAGAAAAGACTCATAAACAAATAATGAGGGAAAAATGAAATGAAACTAAAAAAAGGGGGTTGAAAAACTAACTAAAATAAAATAAACACAAATTGTGAAACTGAAATCTTTTTGTAGTTAACACGCATTCAGCATCTTGTTTTCTATCCACCAAGCAGCAAATTATTCCTTTAGTTGTGATTTTTGTATACATTAGGCATATGACGGTATGAAATTGTCATGTTGCGATTAATTGCAAATGCTTTTATCATGGTATACGGTATTATCATAAATTTAGTTGCAAAATTTTTTTGTCAAACTATAACAGGCTTAATAACTTAACACATAAAATAAAGTAATATACAAAACATTTATGAAGTAAAAAATTTCACACTGATTTAAGAGCAAAAGAATTATAAAGACCAATAAGTAACACTTTACAATATCTCATCAGTTAACCTTAGGTTAATGCATTAACAATTAATGAGCAACAGCTACATTTGCTACTGAAGTTATTAATCTTTGTAAAAAAAAAATACAACTGTTAGTTTAAGATTAATGAATGTTTAGAAGATTTTTTCATTGGCAGTTCATGTTAAATAATGCATTAACTAAGCTAATGTTAATTAATATAGCCTTAATGTAGCCTAAAGTGTGACCAAACTATAAAGAATCAAAACATTTTCAAACAATATCTAGGGCATGTTGTAGTCCAAATTAAAATATATATAAAAAATTAAAAAAAGATTGAAAATAAATAGCCAATTAAGTCCAAATATTTAAGTATTTGGTGCTGGGATGAACACCACTGCGAATACAATAATCTGAATGGCTATTTAAACCATGTATCTATGGTTTAAACCATTTAAATATGTTTTAGAAAGTAGTGCAAGCTGCTTTGTTTCCAGGGGTTACGGCTGCATTTCTGTAGCTTAGCTCCATCTGCTGTCAGAGTAAATGTGCGTTTTCATTCAGCGTCCCTGCGTCCCAATGTGCATACTTATCCACCCTATCTGCCCTAAATAGTATTGAAAATTACTAATATCATAGAATTTAGGATGGATAGTATGCACATTGGGACGCAGGCCGTGTCTCCTTCACGTGTTCCGTCATGCGCTTCTCATCCGTGCTTGTTTACATGAGAGTGCGCATGCATCTTTCACGCAGCATACAATGTTTTTTTGCATTATGGCCAGTTGATGGGGAAAATATTCTTAAAATGCATTAAAAAAAATCAGAAAAATGTGAAATAAATAATAATTCAGGGTATTTTGAAGTGCCCACGATAACAATATCGTGCATATTCATTACAGTGATATATCGAATTACCGAATACCGGCACATGTCTATTGTCTAGTATACATAAAAAGATTTCTAATTTTATATGTAAATAACACAATAGTTAAAGAATAACTTAACTGACAGTAGGGGTGGGCGATGACCAAAAATGTAAGTAATTTTATTCCACCGTAACAATATATCGCGCAATATAGATATTTTTACTTTACATAAATTTTTTTTAAATTCTTGTCACCAGCGTCATTATTACAAACAACGAATACTAGTCTAAATTAAAACAACAAACTCAAGCTCACTGAAGACAAATAAACAGTCAGCGATTAAATAAGAATAAGAAACTAACTACAAAAAATAAGACAAAAAAACTACAGTAAAACAAATTAATAAGAAATGCTATATACATAAAGTAATCAAATGTATAAAAACACTGCATATTCTTTACTGTGTAAATTAAATTTATATTTATGATTTAGTCAAGAGCAGTGAGAGATTTCTTATCTTTTGTTGTTTGATTATCATGAATGACAGACAGCAGGAATATTAGACTGCTGTCACTTTAAGAGCTGTCCGGATTCAATACTGTTACACATGCATTTTTTTTCTCAGCTGTTTGCTTTCACGTAAGACCTAAATTGCTGTGTTTATGAGGATACTTGCAAAGACTGCCATTTTGACACATACAAGGGTGTGTATTTAACCGTTCAAGGCCTATATCGGCCTCGACCACTAGTTTTTGTGACGAAGTAGCACAGCAATGCCACGTGTGCGTATAACCGCGATAGAGACGATAGTCCAAAATCTCTACCGGTTGACAAATTTCTACTGGTTAATTGTGTCTAACGGTATATCGCCCACCCCTAACTGATAAACTTTAACTATTAAATACACTGAAACTAACTAAAACTAAGCTTAAATTCGAAGTAAATTTTAAAAACAACAAAACAAGTTAGAAACTATAATCACCATGACTGTGTTATAAAAGTATTACAAAATTATGGTAAACATGAAAGATTTTTGCCACATAAAAAAAAAGAAAGTTTTTGCAAGGTTATACAAAGGATATACATGTAAAGACAAAACAGCTTTAAGGCCAGAAAAAGTAAAACACAAAGTCAATGCAGAGAAAGAAAGAAGGACAAAACACCAGAAAATAAAGAACCTTCTAGAATCACATTGAAGGACAGAGATGTACGCTGGAGGCTAAGAGCATTGATTAGCCATGCTAGCAAAGATGTTAAATACAGCCAGCATCGATATTGAGAACTACACCACAGACAGGCGGTCAAAAACAGCACTTTCCTCCACAACAGATCAATCCTTCTCTCTCCTCTTTCTCCATCCCTCGCTTTCAGCAGGTTATTTAACTATTAGCTGCCATTATAGCCATAAATATCACATTAGCTAGCATAAACGCAGCTATTTTAAGCGACTGCATTAGCGCTAGCTCACCATCTTTGGGAGAGTCAGTGGATTTGGAGGCAGGCATGATCTTTCCCGGCGGCGTCCTGTCGTGGCACACCTGATGCAGGAAGTTGATGGATTTGCCAATGAGTAGCACCTGGAGAAGGACAGAAGAGAAGAAAACATCATTACAGGCTCATTTCAGTCTGAAAATGACTCACTATTAGTTAATGTCTTGCATTAAACAACCAAATTGGAAGAACGTGTGAGTGGCGCTTGTCTGCGCAAAATACACATCCTTCCTAGTCTGTACTGGGTGGTTAATAATAGGTTAGGTCAAACATGAGGAGACGTGCGCTATTATATACTTCATTGCACACATTTTAACTGGAGAGCAACAAACTGAGCATTATAATAATAATACATTTATAAAAAACAAATAAATTTGTATTATATAATATGTATGATTTAAATTTTATTTGCTAGAATATATATATTAGTGCTGTCAAACGATTAATCGCATCCAAAATAAAAGTTTTTGTTTACATAATATATGTGTGTGTACTGTGTATATTTATTATGTATATATAAATACAAATTTAAATAGGCCTAGTTTGTTTTTTTGCAGTCGAAGAAAATAGGTAATAGCCTAAATTATGTCAGTGATTCTCTCATTTTAAAGATTATCAAGAATTCTTTTATTTCGATTTGCAGTCTAATAAAAGTTAAGAAAATGTTTTTGCCTATAGCCCTATCTATAGACTACAAGCTAATTCCATTTTTTGTTAACTTTTAACTTCTTAAAATTTGTTATGAAGAATATTAAATCAACTTTAGGCTATGCTAACGAATTTTCTTCATAACGAATATACGAACATAACGAATTAGGGGTGGGGGGAAAAATTGATACAGCATAGCATCACGATACTGTATCGATACACGGATGCCAAGTATCGATCTTTTATACCATCATTATTATACCATTTGGTAGAGTAATAAAATCAATTTCTTTACAGTTCACTAGATGGTGGTCTTGAGTTTTTTTTCTAAAATCCTTTAATGCATGGCAAGCCCTTGATTATCCTGCTTATTCCATGGCCATTTGCCAAGTTATAGACGAGTTAAAACTAGTATTGCTCTTCGCAGTGCAATATTTGACTGAATGGGTAAAAATGATGGTTATTTTCGTCAGTTACGTAATTATAGAATTACAGAATTATAACATTTGAATTAATTATCGATTGCTTGTTCGAGAGAGAGAAAGATGACAGTTGTGTGTGTGAATTACCTGCGTCTGTGCATCTCTCTACAAACAATGAAGTTGTGAGTTTAGTTACATAAACAGAGATTTCACCTCCTCATTGCTGAAGATTATAATAAAGTGATCCAGTATCTAAGAGGTTTTATTAATAAAAGTCACTGGGTAGCGTTGACAAGTTTATGTTGGCCTACTCCTGAATGTTTCTGTGCGTGCAGCGGGATCTCTGATCTCTGTGTGTGTGTGTGTGTGTGTGTGTGTGCGCGTCAATTAAAGCAGTGGCGCATTAATATAGAACGGTGATTAAACTGACTTGGAACTACCTGTACCTGAACATACCTCCCAGCCAATCAGAATCAAGAATTCCAACAGACCATGGAATAAATGAAAGTAAAATACTCTAAGAGCACAGCAGTGCATAGTATACCTGTTGTAGCACATTGTTTACTTTAAGAGTATGTTTAATTTAAATGTAACATTTTTGTTTTAATGTAAGACTATGTTTTATTTATTTTAAATTTAACAGTAATCTACTTTTAAATGCCCCAATTGCTGAAGGGTCTGCACAACTTTTTGTACAAGTTCAAGTTTTTGAATATTGGCATTGTTCAAAATACCTGTAGCAGCACAGGTATTTTGAACAATGCCAATATTCAAAAACTTGACCTGGTACAAAAAGTTTTTGAATATGGGCATTGGTCAAAATTCCTGTAGCAGCACAGCAGTGCATACCTGTTTACATTTAATTAAGGTTGACTTGACTAGACTAATACAAATAGTTGAGTTTGTCAGGTGCACACAACATTAATGACAGGTTTTCATGAAAGTGTTGGTCAGTTTTTTTGCTTGACAATCCCATTTTGCACTGCATCAATAAAATTGAAGTGAGATAAACAAACTGAGAAATGTTTCTTTTTAGTTAAAACAGATGTTGCCAAAGTTTTCATTTGGGGACATAATTTGAAGTTGGAAAAAGGTAATAAATTGCAATATATTTAAAATCGCAATAATTTTATATCGTGACACAAGTATCGTGATAATATCGTATCATGGGGCCTCTAGTGATTCCCACACCTATAAACGAATGGGGAGAGCAGGGCACAACATAACACTTTTTGACTTTCTCAGTTTGTGTAAATCCACATGGGGTTCAGAATATAATTTTTTTTTATCCACAGTAATTTCACACTTGTCTAGTACAAATATGTCGCTTTTTTCATAATTAGTGTATACGTTTTTCTTTATTTACCGTCAAAAAATGGAAGTGAAATGTAACAACATGCCCCGTAGGTGGGGTACATTGTAACATCTGAGGGGCACATTGTAACATTACCATATGACAGCTTAAAATGTTATCTGATCTCATGAAAAAAATATACAAGACAAACTAAAATATTTTGCCAATAAAATAAAACAATGGCGTTTTTTAAGAATTAAAAATAATCTGATTTTGGAGTTTGACAATGAACACATTTCAACCAGGCTTGGGACAGCCCACATAAATTAGCCAAAATCCTTTACATGTCTTGAAATAATAATTTTCTGAACATTAAATATTGACTGTCAGTCTTTATTCTCCTGTTTCTTGTTGTTTCTCATTTTAATTAATTAAAGTAAAGTGTGTAAATTACATTGCTAATGTCATAGAATAGCATAGATTAATAATAGCGGGGCACATTGTAACACAGTGTTACAACGTACCCCATCTGCGCAACTGGAATTTAAACCTGGTTAGCGTCTTCCGCTAGTAATCAAATCTAAATCTAAACTAATAAATAACAGATTGGAGATTAAAATTTTAAATGAATAATAAAAATTCAAATGAAAAATTTACTTAAGACTTTACTATGGTAAAATAAATGTTCAGCGATATCTTCAAAAGATTTTTGAATTTTGGTGCACTCTTTTTTCTCTATATAATGTTGATATGGTAACTGTAAATAACAGTAAATACTGTAAATTTTGTTACGCTAGTATGTATGGAAATATTTAAACTACGTGTGTTACAACTAACCCCGGGTTACTTTGTGCCCCGCGCTCCCCTTATAGCCTACTTTAAAACTAAATAAAACAAATTAATAAATTACGAATATAACCAAATAAAATTATTCTCTATCTCTCTATATACTTTCCGTACCCACTGTGTATATATATATATAAAATAGTTTTGTATCAAATGGATGAGGAAGTTACAGTGCTATGAATTTATTAAGTAGGCTAATGATTTATTTCATTCTAATAGGTAACTCTGGAAATGTAACAAAAAAATAGCCTACCCTTTTACCAATTAATTTTTAATCCCTGATTTTAAACATAGACCTACATGAGATAATTTATATATTATTGCTTGAATAAATGTTTAAAAATAGCACTAGAAATGTTATAATTAAGGGAATTAAACCTAGACCTATAGGCATTTGAAAATACATAATGAAATGTGTCTACTCACGCAATAATTCCAAAAAGAAAGAGAAGCATCGGACATAATGCAAAACATATTCAAGACACATTGCTGTGACATTTATTAGGAACACCAACATAGCAGGAAAGCTCATGTTTTCTGTTATATTAAGCATAAACTAAGAAAAGTAAAACAAACCTTAACGTTTCAATAGGTAAAAAAGGGTTCAAATAAAAGCACCGGTGTTGTCGGCAGTGTTGTGAGGCGGGTGCGCAGGTAGATGCTGCGTTTTTTTTTGTTATTTTTTTGTTTTGTTTTTTAGTTCGGCAGAATTTGTCCAGTCGTGATGCGCCAGTCGTCAAGTGTGTTGTGTGGAGTGACCTAAAATCTGAGTGACTTAGTCATTAGGTTTGTGCTCCTTTCCGATTGTCAAAGACTAAAATCTGTTTAAGTCAATGTAATGTAAAGTCTAAAATCTGTTCACATCAATGTAAAATACGCAATGTACTCTGAAATGAAAGTACATGATGTACTCTTATGATGTAAGTGCTGTACCTTCCTGGCTTGATCCATGGTGATGAAGGAAGGGATCATACTCTTCCTCAGTGAGTACTTGTCATGCCACAGTCTGTCTGTCTTCACCGTTGGGTCTGAGGCTACAAAGAACTGAACACAGGTTTCGATAGTCAGATGGAGATCTTAATTTTTTTTTTGTTTTAGGAAAGTTATTATGCTATGACCTGTAACATACACACACTCATAATGTTTACACTGATGAAAAATCACTGCAGCTCAAAGACAAATAAATGACTTCCAAGGACTGGTCATCTATTGCTGCAACACAACAAATGACCTTCTGTGGTAATTACACAGATGGAGGGAACGAACGCAGAAGAGCTCATCAGTACTTTCAACACGGCAACTATTAAAATGACTATTGCCAAGAATAACGATGCCGAGCGAAACGAGGAGCTCGTAAACCCTTGGCCCAGGAGGAGAGCGGCTTCGATGGGTACATTAGTGATATAACCCTCTCTGTCACCTCAACCCTCAACACTGCTTACACTGTGAAAAAGCCTGTTACACTTCAGCGAGGGCGAGATTAAATCCTGTGATTACAGGCAGGAGCGTCTGATTGGTGCCTGTGCAGAGGGGAAGCTGGGAGTTGATTGGGCGATAAGTCTTCTATGCCCGACGACTTCAGACTTAGTCGAGTGGGCATAGACTAAGTAACGAAAGATTCATTGACACTATTTAGTAATGGTGGAGGACAAGGAGAAGTAGACGTGAGAGTGATAGTGGAGGGAAAAAGAGAAAGAAGGCCATAGAGGAAGTGGAAGGAGACGGGCCCATTAGCGCACCTCATCTGTCCTCATCTGAGTGTCTGTGTGTAGGAGACTGTGGTTCACTGTGTCTAGAACACTAAATCACACTCAAGTGCAGGTGTTTTCTCAGACACACAACAGTGCACAAGTCAACAGAGTCAATTTGAGGACACTGGCCTGAGCTTAGCTTCAATTATATGGTGAAACAAAGACCAATAAAGTTTTTTAATTTTTATTTAATTATTAACTTTATATTGATTAAGTGGTATTTTTTTTACAACTCAACCAAGTAGTTACAAAATATATAATTTAAAAAACAATAAGAAAAAAAACTACTGTAAAATTGTTTTTTTACACTAAATTAACTAAAGGAACAATATATGTGACCTGTGCTGTGACAAGTCATTTTTTATTTTTACATTTTCTATTGAAAGACCTTCAAAATTATGCATGATTTGTTGGAATCGGACAAAAAATGACTGAGCTACAGCTGTTTGAAGTCGATGGAGTCAGCAAAGTAAATTTTGAGAAAAACTGATTTAAAGTTTTCTGAAGTTTCCAAAGCAAAATCACCCAGCTACATTACATCTTTCCCCCACTTCTTTTCTTAATAATCATTACTAGATTAATAATCACAATATAGCCATTTCTTTTAATCTTTGTTGTTATAAATAAGAACCGATGCAAAAAATAAACAAATCTAAGAAAGAAACAAGTGTATTTCTCCAAAAGTTTCCCAAATATTCACTTAAGATATAACAGATTTTGATTGCGTGAATACTTAATATATTTAGCCTACTGTAAATCTGTGTATATGTGTATCGGGATAGAGCGTCGACGGTGTCTGGCATCTTTATGCTTGCGCTTTGGATGAGAGGCAGGACGAGAAGCGAGCGGAGAAAAGGTACTCCTCTCAGAAAACTTACAAATAAAGAGACTTTTAGATGTTTAATTACTATTTGGAGCACTGGGATCGCTAGACGAGGGCTTCATAAACAAATTTTTGTGAAAATCTCAAATGCGATCAAAAGCAAAACATTTTTTTGCCTGTAGCTCAAAATTAGCCTGTGCGCATTACTACTCATTTTGCCAGCACGAGTCACATATGTATGCATATAAATACAAATTAATGATAAAAAAATATTTTCATGCACATATACGTGCGCGCGCGTAAAATGCTCATAAAAACTATAATAGTATACAAACAATACTAAAGCTGAAGCACTAAAAATTTAATAAAAATAAATGAAAGCTAAACAGAAAAAAAAAAAATATATATATATCTTTTTTAATAAATCTGCATAAATGTCAACAATTCTGTGTTTTTCTGTCAATATGGGGTGCTGTGTGTACATTAATGAGGAAAAAAAATTAACTTAAATGATTTTAGCAAATGGCTGCAATATAACAAAGAGTGAAAAATTTAAGGGGGTCTGAATACTTTCCGTACCCACTGTATGTATGTACATATATATATATATATATATTTACTGTATATATAAAAGCTAACAAAAATTACAAAAGCATAATAAAATTACTAAAATTAAAATGAAAACTGAAAATAATACTACACAAACAATACTAAAGCAAATAAAAATTAAAATAAATGAAAGATAAACAGAAATATTTTAAAAAATATAACTGCAAGCAGTGATGCTGGGCCAAGCCCAAGAAGGGGCTGTAGCGGCAGTGCAGAGCAGGAATAAATAAAGATTTGCACAACGCGGATCTGGATAATAAAGTAATCAAAACAGCACAACATAGCACAATTTTCTAAAGTTGCACCACGTGAGACTCGAACCTACAACATGAAAGTAGGGGTGCGCTGATCCGATATTCAGTTCTCGCTCCGATAATGGCATTTTCTGCTGGATCAAAACCGATCCAAATCCGATATTCTGCGTATACTATTCTGTTTTATTGTTAAGCCCCACGAAAGCCACAAAAACATCAAAGCACCATAAAGTTTTCGTGCACTATATTCCAAGTGTTCTGAAACTGTTCCACAGTTTAATGTGAAGTATAGATGATTATTCCATGGTCTGTCTGAATACTGGATTCTGATTGGCTGGCGGGTATGCAGTAAAACCATTTAATGCACAGGTAGTTCCAAGTCAGTTTAATCACCGTTCTATATTAATGCGCTGCTTTAATTGATGCACACTAACACACACACACACACACACACACACACACAGAGAGATCGCAGATTGCGCTGCACACACACAAACTTGTTGTCCACGCTTCCCCGCGATTTTTATTAATAAAATAGCCTAGATACTAGATCGCTACATTATATTCCTCAGCAACAATGGTAAAATGGCTGTTTCTGAAGTAATTGTTTGTAGAGAGAGAGACGCGCAGACGCAGCACGCAGGTACACACAACTGTCATCTCTCTCTCTCGATCGATAATTAATTGAAATACATGCTATAATTCATTCAAATAAATGTGATCTTACCACACTATTTCATCTCTGTGTCTGATTTGAAGCGGGCAGAATACTAGAGCTAACGTGCCGTAACTGACGAAAATAACTGTCATTTTTACCCATTCGGTCAAATTTTGTGCTGCAAAGAGCAATACTAGTTTTAACTTGTCTATAACTTGGCAAATGACCATGGAATAAGCAGGATAATCAACGGCTAGCGGTGCATTAAAGGATTTTAAATGCACTTCGCGTCGGGCAGTTCATTGCCTCCACGTCGTGCATTTAAAATCCTTTAATGCACGGCTAGCCGTTGATTATCCCTTACATATTTAAGTCAAGTTCGCGTAAACTCGTCTGTCATCCTCCATACAGTATTCAAACATTCAAACTCTCTCCAAGATGATTTAATGTTCCTAATATTATACTTGAGCTGTAAATAAAGATACATTATTAAAAGGACTTTATCTTGCTGGAGTTTCGTTGTGTTTCTAAATCGTGTTAATTTCTACCGTGTTAGATCACAACACTGAAGTAGAGAGCACTATGAATTGTTCTTCACGAGCACAATAACTGAGATTTAAAACTGATAAAACAAAAGGCTCAATAAACTATCGCACAGATTTAATACACTATGCATCAATGTCTCTTGTGCTTTGAACTTTTCTATGCGGAGCGCTGTGACTCCGTGTTGCTTCAAGCTCATCATTCTGCGCACGGGATGCGCATAAGCGCTTTGTGCCGCTCTTTATTGGAGCCTTTCATATCATAATACTTTTGCACAATGAGATTATTAGTTAATAATGACAGATTATTAGTTAATAGCCTTTCTTGTTCGTCTTATCTATCATATGTTGCACATTAAAAAAGTATTTTAATTTTATAGTAGGCCCTATAAATATTTATATATAAATATATTACTTTTTTCATGAATGTATTTTACAACCATACAAAGAGCAATGTGTAACAATTTACCAGATTTAGTCTAACACTTATTCACTTTTATTTTTTCCCCACTAAATAATGATTTTATAAAATTATTGTGCACTCATTTTTCTAGAGTAACTTTTGCTACTGAATTATCCACTAACCTCGTTTATAATAGTATTTTTGTCATAGATTATGATTATATATATTTTTTCCTTTTGTTATTTTTTCTTTACAAGAAAGTTGTCTATATTTAGTAGATTATAGACAAGATTATAGATAAGATATTCAATGTGATCAGCATGAGGAGAGTAATCAGGTGTACTATGTTTCATTTTTCTAGAATTAGGGGTTCAAGAGTTATTACCATTTCAATGTTGAATTTTTGAAGTGGTGGTGGTGCTATAGAGTTGGTCTTAGAGACCCCAAAGTTGGTCAGATCACTATTCATGGCCATCACTACAAGTGTGCCAAATTTCATCATTTTCCTATGTTCCGTTCATAGGGCTGCCATAGGCTTCCATTGGACGAGAAGAAGAAGAAGAATCAGTATAGATACAATAGGGGCTTAGGGATGCGCCGATCCGATATTCATATCGGGTATCAGGTCAGATAGAGCCATTTTTCTCGGATCGGGTATCGGTCAGAGAGGGCCGATCCAAATCTGAGATTTTTTATTTTTTTCCCCCGATTGTGCGAATTATTCTGTGTTACTTCTGAAGCCATACGATAGCTTAATGTGAGCTACATATGAATATTTAAGTCCTTACATTAAAGTTCACACAAACTCTTTTCTCCGCTGCGGCTGCCAGTCATTCGTTCAGCCTTTAAACCCTGGTCGTGTTCAGTTACAGCAGTCAGCTCGGTAAAGCTCTCTCCAAGATCATTCTGTGTTCCCATTATACTTGATCTGTAAATACATGTCTATGATTTTGCAAAAAGGACTTTATCTTCTTGCCGGAGTTTAATGTTGTTTTGTTACTTGCTACCAGGTGTCTGTGAGAACAAAACACGGGCGTAGAAAAGACTATAAATTGTTTTTAACGTACACAGTAACTGATATTTAAAACTGTTAAAAGAAAGGCTCAATAACTGTTGCACAGACATAATACACTACGCATCAATTTCTCTTCCCTTTGTGCAGAATGATGAGCTTGAAGCAACATGGCGTCACGTGTTGCTTCAAGCGCATCATTCTGCACACCGGATGCGCATATTGTAAGCGCTTCGTGCTCATAGACTTTGTAAAAACAGTTCGTGCTGCACTGTATTTGTTTTGTCTTATCGTATCTATCATATGTTGTTGCCTTATTAAAAAATATGCTATACATTCAAAAGAAATGTATTTTAATTTTATAGTACATACTTAAACATATAGAATGTTTTTAATGAATGGACTTTATAATCCAAATAGCAATGTGTAACATTTTATCATATTTAGTGCAACACTTTTATTTGTTCCCCACAAAATATTGTTTTTTCACTAAATGTTTGGATTTCTAAAATTATTGTATTTTTCTAGAATAACTTTTGCTGCCGAATTATCCACTAACCTAGTTTATGATAATTTTTTGTCATAGATTATAAATATACATAGGCCTATATTTTTTCATATTTGTTCATTTAATTTTTCTTTATAATGAAGTAGTCTGTATCTAGTAGATTGTGAAAGAATGATTATCAGTTCCACACACAGAGATATATAAATTCAACATTTATTTAAATGGAGGAAAAAATCTTCACTGGTATCAGATCGGTATCGGCCAATACCGAACCCTAGGTATCAGAATCGGTATCGGAGGCGAAAAAGGTGGATCGGCGCATCCCTAGCTTGGCCCCTAATAAAAGCTAATAAAATCACTTTATGATATACTCACCTAATTCTATACTGCCAGCAAAATCCTAGAATTCTGAATATTTAGACCAGGCCTACATGACAGGCACTAAGTAAAAATTAGAGAACATAGTTTTGCAGTGTGCTGACTTTAAAGTAGCTGCTCAAATAATGAATTACAGTCTGGACACATACAGCAAGTTCTAACAAGGATATCTGGGAGTGACTTTGCAAAGACAAGCAGTGTGTGTGTGTGAGTCCTGACCTCATGGTACGTATCCTCCAGCTCCCCGTCGTAGATCCAGCGATACAGGAAGTTAAGAATGGGGTGGGACACCAAACCAAGGATGTGCTGGATCAGTGCTCTCATGTGAGGGTCACCCGTCTTTCCATAAGCATGTACAGCTGAGGCCAACTCTCCTCCTTTACGCCCTGAGAGAGTTATCTGAAATCAAATCTTTGCACTAAAATGCACCTTATTACTGTGAAATATGATCAGTCGTAAAGAAATTATGTTTTTTGAGGAAAATATTTTAGGATTTCTCTCCATATAATGGACTTCAATGGTGCCCCCGAGTTTGAACTTACAAAATGCAGTTTAAATGCACCATCAAAGGGCTCTAAATGATCCCAGCCAAGGAAGAAGGGTCTTATCTAGCGAAACGATCATTTATTTTCTAATAAAATGTACAATTTATATACTTTTTAACCTCAAACGCTCTCCTTTCTAGCTCTGTGTGAACTCTTGTTTTTTCCGTTTCATGACAGTTAGGGTATGTTGAAAAACTCTCTTTCGTCCTACATCGCTGCAGAAGTACCGACCCAGTGTTTACAAAGTGACCATGCAAAGAAGGTCAAACATCTTTTACAAAAAACGGTAAAACAGCGATGTAGGACGATTTTAAAATTGGAGGAGAAAATGAGATGGGAGTTTTTCGACCTACCCTAACTGTCTTGAACCGGAAAACAGAGTCCACGCAGAGCTAGACAAGACGAGCGTTTGAGGTTAAAAAGTTTTTTTTGTATTATTTTTTTAAAGAAAATAACCGATCGTTTTGCTAGATAAGACCCTTCTTCCTCGGCTGGGATCGTTTAGAGCCCTTTGATGCTGCATTTAAACTGCATTTTGGAAGTTCAAACTCGGTGGCACCATAGAAGTCCATTATATGGAGAGAAATCCTAAAATGTTTTGCTCAGAAAACAATGTCTTTACGACTGAAGAAAGAAAGACATGAACATCTTAGATGACAAGGGGGTGAGTACATTATCTGTAAATTTTTATTCTGGAAGTGAACTACTCCTTTAATGCAGACTACATTTTAAATGTATTGTGCTGCAGATTGTATCTTATCAATGAGATGTACCACCACTAACCTTGGCAGTAGTCCACCAGTGCGGCTAGTGTTTTCAGCCGAACCTTGGGGTCGTAGGTCCACACCAGCAGTCTCCTCAGAGTCAGACTGCTATCCACACTCATGTTTACACCCTGATCATCTTCCACCTGGAGCTAAACACATATACACGACACGTCAGTTACCGCTTTTCCACTGAAATGGTGCTGGTTCTCATGCTTGGTTGTTTCATTGTGCTTTTCACAAGCTGCTTTTGATGCAACAGGGTTATTTAAGACAGGGTACATAAATTGGTCAAGGCTTTACTTTACTATATTATGCAGCAGATTGTTTCAGGTAGGAACCAGCGGCGGAAAATTCAGGCTTGAGCAAACGAATGTTTCAGGGTCAAACACACATTTTCCCCTGCACATTAAGTGGTGTCCCATATACTCACCTGTGCATGAAGTACAGACAACAATCTGTAGTACTCCTTCAGCTCTTGATGCAATGCAGCACAAAAACTCTGAGGATAAAAACAGGAAGCAAAAGTGTTACTGAAATTATAGAGTATGAAATTCCTGACTACAATCAACTGTTCAAAAGTTTGGTGTTGGTAAGAATTTTTAAATATTTTAATTTAATTTAATTAAAAATACAGTAGAATCAGTAATATTGTAAAATATTATTCAAATTTAAAATAGCTATTTTCTATTTTAATATATTTTAAATATAAAAATTATTCTTCTGATGGCAAAGCTGAATTTTTAGCATCAATACTCCAGTCTTCAGTGTCACATGATTCTACAGAAATCAAAAGAACAGAATTTATTTAAAATAAAAATATATAGTAAAAATATAGTCGTCTTTACTGTTACTTTTGATCATCTTAATGCATCTTTGCTGAATAAAAGTATTAATTTCTTTCAAAAAACAAAATAATTTAAAATGTATAATCTTGCATTATAAGATTTGTGTAGGGGTTAAGGTTACATATATGTTATGTTAATTTCCTGTCATGTCACATTTCCTACCTGCCCGACTAGGCCAAAGGCTCGATCCAGGCTGTGGGAATCTGTATATTTTCTAATCTTATTGTGGAGCCAGCCGAGCTCTGCTAGCCTGCTGCTAGTGTCTCTTAGAGACTTACACAGTGGCACCTATAAGACAAAACATACAGTTATTTACTCTCTCACAAAATGCAGAGCAGGAGTTTATGATCCCATAACAACAGACTATAGGTAAAATGACTAGAATGTATTTATTTCTAAAAAATTAAACTTAAATATCTGCTGTAGGAAAGGAGTGGGAAAGTGTGGGAAATGAAAGTGTGTCTTAGTGCAGGCTGCCTGTGAACTGGCCAGTATGTATTCTGCCCTTGTGACACAGTGGCAAAGTCATCTCTTCAGTTTGAAGAAATGGCTTTAGCTAATCTTGACTTTCACTTATTTTGGGGCTTTGTGAGCAACATCTGTTCCATTCAACACAAAAACTCTTTAATAACTTTTAATAAAAGGCCCATTTAAGCCTTTGATTAAGTGTTCACTTGTAAAGGTCACCAAGATTCCTTCAAAGCAAACGGTTACCAAACAGACAACCAGCTCTTTTACTTTTCTCCCCAAGAGTGAGACGAAGACAAAGCAGCTACAGCAAATCTCAGACTGAATACCATAAGTGTTAATATTCTTACAGATTCTCACAGAACTACAAGGGAATATGCCAAAAAATGAGGTTCTTAAAACAATGATCCATAGATTAGTTGGATTAGTTAAACTAATGACTTCTGGCTAAATTTCAAGAAATACCCATACATATTAATATTGATTCTATGCTTTATATAATCATATCATGCATAAAAAGTGACATTAAAATAGTTAGATTTTTAGGTTTTCTGAGAGGACTTCAGGCATTCATCTCCATCTGTGGTCTAATGGTTTGAGTACAATATATATGACGTCCAGAACAAACACAAACAGCTCTGGCCCATCAAAGTGTCTATTTATCCAGCACACCTCACTGGACATAAAAAGCACATTGTTCTTTTTCAAACGAATAGATGCACCATTTTAAAAGTGTCACTTAAAAAAGACACCTGATCGATTAACTCTGATTCACGGTCAACATCTGCCAGGAATAACATTTTTTTTTTAAAAACACGAAAAGACCTTGGGAGCCATGTGGCTCAAATGGATTCATGAGGCCATGTTAGTTGTAGCCAGACAGAAGCAGCTGATGATGAGATCAATGCTTCTATATTTCCCATTATGCACTTACTAAAGTGTCTACAGGTGCTCCTACTTAAGTTTGTTTAATAAGAACTCACGTTACAAGTACTTTTATAAGAAGCGCAACACTAGAACATTCTGCTCATAATTACTTCCCAGAATCTCAGTCTGACATCTGAAGTGTTTGTACCGTAGCTGAAGTGGATAAGGAAATAAATGAAGAACATAAAAAGCCCTTTGTTAATTTTCTTCACAAAATAGTCACTATGAATGGCTGTCGTTATTTCGATTTGCTGTACATTACGATTAAATAAACTTTCATAAGCTTTTTATTTGTGGTGCCATTTAAATGAGAGGTAATTAAAAATCTGCTTTACGAGAACAGAGCAAGCTAATATTTATGATTATATTCTTGTGAAATTTAAACTACATTCATAATTATACAACAACCTTGCAACATTATTTCTTCATTTATCATTTTATGCTAATATACACTACTTTTGAAAACTTTGAAGTTGGTATACTTTGTTTAAAAACGTTTTTGAAGCCTCTGAAGCTCGCCAAGGCTGCTTTTATTTGATCAAATAGGAGTAAAATGGTTTTCGAATTTAATATATTTTAAAATGTCATTTATTCCTGTGATGCAAAGCTGAATGTTTAGCATCATTACACCAGTCTTCAGTGTCACATGATCCTTCAGAAATTAGTATAATCTGCTGATTTTCTGCTCAAGAAACATTTCTTATCAGTGTTACAAACAGTTGTGCTGCTAAATATTTTAGTGGCAAATGCGGTATTTTTTTAGGATTTTTTGATGAACAAATTTCAATGAAAATCGAATTTATTTGAAAAATAAACCTTTTGTAACATAAATGTCTTTCCTGTCACTATTGATCAATTTAATGCATCTCTTATACTGCTAAAAAAATATTCATTACTTTGAAAGGTAGTGTATATTTAGAATTTTTCTAATATATCTATGTTCCAACCGTTATTGTGACAGTGGTTCGAAATGTGACAAGCACCTTTCAAAAAATGTCATTTGATTGTTCCTTTACGCTTCACAGCAATCGTAAACAGCCTAGTTACTATAGTTATACAGACTGCATGTGAGCGAATGAACAATAATCAAGAGAAAGACAAGACCAGAATGAAAGGAAGATACAGCTAATAAAGAATCACCTTTGAATCAATTTTGTAGCAGTTTTCTGGGCTGCACATCTTGATGAACTTTCCATCTATTCCCTGGAAAACATAAAGAATGTCTCGGACGAGAGCAGCCTCCCCAATCTCAGCTGGGTCAGAGGAGATAGAAAAATACAGTGAAAAGGGAGAATTTAAAATAAAGTTCTGTAAAGGTCACACGCATACATCTGGCACAGAGAAAGATGCCATGAGGCCAACTGCATCTTTAACACCTCTGAAATAGTTCTCTCTTACTTCTCTCTTTTTTACTCTTAAAGGATAAGAATAAAATGTAAATTACAATTAATCAGTCAAGAGTAGCCTAAAAACGACTGAAAATTTGTGTTAAATATAAGAGTTTGTATTCAGAGTGAAACATTTATGGCATCTACAGCATAAAACTCCCAGGCACCTGTCACTGGTGTTCTGCACATGTTTTAAACAGTCATTTCTATTTGTAGTTTTGAAATACTATCTTTATTTTAGTATATAATCACCCAGTTATTTCCTGAAACATCCTGACTATTTCCTTTAGACACTCACCACTGCCATCTTCATCCCGTCTCTGTCTCTGTGGGAGTTTGGGTGCCGGACTGGAAGAGGGTCCACTGGGGGGACGAGGGGCAGCAGCTGCCCCAGAGGGTGAACTGGAGACCGGGAGAGTCCAGGCTAGACGAGACCCTCTCATAGACTCACCGACAGCTTGGGGTCCTGGTCTGAAAATGACAAAAGTGGCAGAAGTGTCCAATAAATACACTCAAGTTCATCTGAAAACCTCTGCATTTCATCATTTAATAGCCAAACTCCACTACAGGTGGAAAAAAAAAAAATCCTAAAATGTTTGCATTGCCTTTTTGCTACATGAATTTTCATCTCAATCCCCATTTTCTTGAAACTCGTTCGCCCTTTAGCAAAACCTGTGGGAATTCACTAATTACCTTGTAATGGTGAGCTTTGAACAAATAATGCCACTGAGGTTCAGAGACTTTAATGATGCTGTTGGTTCGACAGATTTACTGTGAAATGGATCCAGTAATCAATTAATTCAGGGCTTGGAGTACATGGCCATATTTAAAATATCTTAAGTGCTGCAGGTGCTAGACAGCTGCATTAATAATAGATGAGTGTACAGCAGTTCAATTAAACATACTACAAATACAACAGCTGCATTACTGAAAAAAAATACTTTAAAAGAGAGGGAGAGAAAATAAAACCCATATGATTTGTCATAGGCTGTTGCTGGGCTAAAGCACTATATGAAGCACGATAAAACAATCGAAAATAAATAACATTTATGAAACATAGCGTGCATTTCAATGTGATGCAACAGCTGCTTACAGTATAAACTGTTTCAATGAATATAATGCGAGCAATATTAGTCATGTTGGTGTAGACATTGTGCTAAAACAAAACGTCAAACCAAGTAGCACATGCAAACAAATTTTGCTAGATTTTTTTGCTTAGAAACAGCTTCACTTTTTAAAGACATTTTTGCGAATGTATAGTAAGCACACAAAGTGAAAACCTCTTTACATGACATGATCATTTTCCTTGTAGACAAAAGACAATTACTGAAAAAAAAAAAAATCTGTAAATATTTGTGTTGAAACAAAGAAATGGAACCATTTTTAATGGACTGCAATCAAATACTACCAATAAACCGATATTGATCTCTAAATGCTACATCTGCAAAAGCTCTCTGTGTTCAGAAATATCACAATGATTTCTGATCACATGACACTGACGATTGGAGAAATGGCTGCTGAAAATTCTGATTTGCCATCACAGGAACACATGACATTTAAAATATATTAAAACAGAAAACATTTAAAATTTTAATATTTTACAATATTATTGTTTTTACTAGTTTACAATATTATTGTTTTTACTGTATTTTTGGTCAAATAAATGCAGCCATTGCATTGATGTATTTTACAGTGGATGATTGCAGCTGTTCATCATGAAAATTAATTTTGAAGATAATTCCTCAAATTAAAATTCTGTCATTATTTTCTCACTGTAAATAATGTTCTAAACTTGTATGACCGACCTTCTTCCTTTAAACACAAAAAGAGAAATATGGAAAAATAATTTAGTTCTTTTTCTAGAATGATCACACAGCCTACAGACAAGAGTCAAGAAATCTAAAACGGACTAAAAAAGCACCAAGTTCATTTTCACAATCACATGACAAATGTATCAGTGTTACTGACACCTAGGTTGGTGCAACATGTGATATGTGTGACTTTTATGGCACTTATTTTGTCCTTTTTGGAGTTGGACAGCCCATGGTCACTGTATGCTTTCACTGTATGGAAAACAACATTCACTAAGTCAGTTCATCACTGGCACTCACCCAGTGAGCAGAGGGGTCGGCCCAGGCCCATTGATCGAGAATACTCCCATACTGCTGATGCCACTGGTAGCCATGCTGGAGTTATGGGCAGTGGCTGAGCGCTCTGGGTAGCTGAGCGGGAGGCTCTGGGGACGGGCATAGTAAAACGGGGTGGAGTGGACATCACGAGCCTGGGCGAGCAGAGCTCCATAACTACACACCTGTGGAGGGGAAAGAAGAATCTCTATCTTACACATAATGTAAAATCATTTTTACTACATTATTGTGTAGTATCTGCAGAAAAACTGGAGAAACATCTCAGGAACATACAGGAACACGGTTAGACGGCTTCCTTGGGTCCTCACAGAGGCTGAGCAGGAGGTATAAGATGGACCATCTATGTTTCAATACACCCTGTTCACCAGAAACAAATCAATTAGCATATTTAACCATATCACATGCCGTCCATTACATCTAATCTATATGTATCATGTATAACTGAGCTGAATACTGACCTGGGTCTGAAGCTTTCTGTGCAACTCAGAGAAAAGGGCAGCATCTGCTTCCCGTCTTTGTTTCAGCACTACAATAAATAAGAAAAGAAATTTTTTATTTTTTTTGCATCCTAATCGAATAAACCAGAAATATTAAAGGATAGCCTAATGAGTTTAGGTGCTGTTGATAGAATGGTCACTAGCACTATTGGGCCAGTACTGTAGTATAGACTGACCAGTATCAATTTCTTATACCCGATTATTTGCATGCTTATATGTCCGATAACAGATATTCAACATGGTTTATTTCTGTTTTTGTTATATTATGCTATTGATTTATCATTTTATGCCATGTCAGCTAACTCACGAATAATAAGATTTAAAATAGTCTCAATAACAAAACTTCAATGAATTGCATACACTAATTTACCAATATACAATATTATTTAACAAAAAATAAAAGAAATAAAAATATATTGCATCTTTCAAAATTATATTTGATAAAATTAAAAAAAAAAAAAATCACAATATTTTCCCAGGAGAAATGTTTTAAAACATGTCCATTACTGTAATTTGACCGAAAACATTTCCTAGTTATTAAATTGATTTAATAGCAGCAGCAACAAAACCAACAACAGGCAAAATAAACTGACAAATTCTAATGTTTTCGAACAGAAAACATAAATGACAAAGTGGGTCTACCAACTTCACAAAAATGTAATAAATAATTCATTTTAAACTACAGTTTATAATTAAGGTTTAAGCATGGCTTATTAGGCTAAGGAGTAAAGACAAGTAGTTCCCTGGAATAATTATACATTGTCAGAAATATAACAAACAAAACAGTAAATAAACATTTTATTCCATAAAATTAATTAATGACAATTAATAGTGAAATTAATTTTAAAAAATGTTAACAGAATTTAAAAACTTTTAAACAAGTCTGGTTATGATCTGGTTAAAAGTTAAATGGCGGGGGGGGGTAAAGGCTAACTTAGATGGGGTTTTGTTAAAATTTTGAGAAAGGTTTCTTTTGGAAGCATGTATTAGAATAGGTTGAAAATGAAGCAAATCAGCATATGCCATCATTTTTCAGCCAAAGTGAACTTATAGTTTTCAGCACGAGTTATTATTGTGCTTAATTTCCAGTAATTATAGCACATTTTTAATTATTTTTTTGGACAGACATAAATGTTTAATGATAAACATATTTCTTACCAACACAAAAATATGTTTTAAAAATAAAATCTCATTCGTATTGGCAGGGCAAGTATACATTGGAACTACTACACTGATCCACCAAACAGTAAATCATACAATGTTATTTTCTGGATTTTTTTTTTTTGATTTGGTCTCTCACAGTTGAGGTGTACCTACGATGAAAATTACAGATCTCTCCATTCTTTGTAAGTGGGAAAACTTGAAAAATCGGCAGTGTATCAAATACTTATTTGCCCCACTGTACATAAGACATTAAGTCCTTTTTAAGGAAACTGAAAGCAGGGACCATATTCTGGTATGTCTGCGGTTTCTAAAGTCTCTTGTCCAACAATAAAGTGAAATGTCTGTTTCTCATTTGTTTATGTCTCTTGTGGACTCTGAGACGCGTTTAGCCTACATTTGAAATATGACAGCGGCAGTGAGCTGATAACAGATGAGATATCAGCTTTAGTTTGAAGCATCAGGGTCTTTATTGACAAGAAGGGCCATTTGAAACAGGAACCCTGTTTTATCCAGCATCCCCCTGATGTTTTCCAAGGCTTGCAGCTTACAGCCTCTCATCTCTGCTGCTCTGACCCTCCATCACAAACATTATCATATCACATCACATCACATTGTCAGTTTTCATCGAAACTCACAGCCTAGTCCACCACTGCACATACTAATCATGTTTTAGCAGCTGTGTGGCAGAATGAGATGGTGTCTTTACCTTCACTCTTGCCCGTGATCTTACAGCACAGATTCTGCAGAAGCACGTTGGGGGATTTCTGATCAAGCGCCGCCATTGTGCTCGTATATATTACCTTCCGTGCGAGCAGAAACGGTCCGCGGTGCGTTTTTAACCGCTGTCGCTTTTCCTCTGCTGGGTTTCAGCTCCTGGCAACAACAGCGCCATTTTAACGGAACCCGCCGAAAAGCGCCCACAGTCGGACAGTCAACAGAAAATACAGCAGCGGTGCGCAGCGGAAAAACAGCCGGCTGGGAAATGAGACCTAGGAAAACGTTCCTCCCGACAAACGTTACTCATAACATAATAAAACATGTTGGAAAATTATTATTATTAATAATAATAATAATAATAATTGATTGATTAAATCTATTAATAATCAAAAATTTTGTATTTTACTAAAAATTGTAAAGGGGTAAATAATCAGCTTTGATACGTGTATGAATTGTGTACAGGACTATAAACAAGTCCATCAATGAAAAAAATGAATGAATAAAAAAAAAATAAGAAGAACTTGATTGATTAAATCTATTAATAATCAAAAATTTTGTATTTTACTAAAAATTGTAAAGGGGTAAATAATCAGCTTTGATACGTGTATGAATTGTGTACAGGACTGTCCATCAGTCCATCAATGAAAAAAATGAATGAATAAAAAAAAAATAAGAAGAAATATCTATATATATATATATATATATATATATAAAATGAAATAATCAGAATAAAAAACTGCACAGTAATTATCTGTAAAGTAGAAGTAGGTTTGCTGAATTAATTGTACTGAGACATATATTTGACTAATAATAACAAAAACATAGTTTTTATGAAAAGCTAAAGTGGTAAATGGCTAGTAATTTAATTTATTTAGTTAACAATTGAAATAATTTAACTAATTTGATAGTTTTTCAATATTTATATCAATTCATCATAACAACCCAAAAAGTTAGATTAATAATTATTATATAATATTATCAGTAATTACTCACTGTTGTTGATTGTATTATTTAAAAGTAGAACAGCCATGATATTTATTATTATTGTTATCTTGATTACATTATAATAATTGAATTATAACGATCCCATATGCGCAATAGATACGTGTTTTATTGCTAATTAATATTTAGTATGATAATTATAATTTACTTATTATGCTTATTTATTATCGTTGTTTACGGCTAAAAACACATCTCTTCCATCTTTATCTGACCCTCAAACACCCTCTATTCTAATTCTTTTTCAACTATTTGTTTTCTTTTTTCTTTAAAAAAAGCATGACCCTTTAAGACTTGCACTCGCTTTGTTTTCTAACTGCTTGCTTTCTATTAAAAAAGACCTCAAACACTAGCTTTCTCTATTCTTTTTCTATTCTATCGATTTGTTTTCTTTTGATCTATTATATAATTAACAAAAACACAACTTGTTACGTGTACTGCGTTAGGCTAACCCGAGTCATAGCACTTGCTTATTATTGCTCTTTTGTTGGTTTGAATTGCTTCCATTGTCCTCATTTGTAAGTCGCTTTGGATAAAAGCGTCTGCTAAATGACTAAATGTAAATGTAGTGTTATTACTGTTGTTGTTAGTTATTTATTCTTCAAGTCACCACACAGTCCTAAAGCACGCTTGAGAGGCCATGTCATTACCTTACACCGGTTTGTTGCGGGAGATTGACTGACTGGCAGTAACTGGATGGGGAGTCACCGGACACCGGGTACACCGGAGGGGCTGAAAATCCCCTTGGGCGGGTGGGTGTAGCCGAGGAGTGCGCGTGCGCTCACGGGGCTCGTGACGTTCCGGTGCTAACCGACGGGAGTCGGGAGAGGAGAGCTTTACTACACCGAGAAGAAGCAGAGCGAGTGCGGCAGTACACCAGAGGGACGCTGGACAAGGAAGAAGTGGCCAGTCCCTTAACATATTAAGGCAAAACCTGGGAAAACGAGAGCTTGTTGTTATTCTCCTCAGTCAGTGAGTGTGTTTGTAGATGAACCCGGAGCATGTCACTATGACAACGTTTGGACTTTACACAGTAGCCTTCTTCTTCATCTCAGTAACGTTAGGCGCTGCTCTGTAGATATCATAATCGCAGTAGTCGCGGAGGACTGCCAGTTGTCAAGCCGTAGAAGAAGAAGCCGTAGAAGACAGTCATGGATCAGAGACTTGCTACAATGATCAGCTAGCGTCTTGTGTGCCCATTCTTCAAGATTAGAGGAGAAAGCGGAGACAGCACACCTGGAGCAGAATGGATTTGAGTAGCATCAGGAAGCTCATCACTCGATACGTGAGTACAGACGCTATCTATCACTCTCTCCAACTTGTTGGTCTGGTTCTGTAGGGCTGCGCTGCTTTCGATACACATTTTTGTTCTTTAAAGCTAAAGTGACACGTTGTATATTCGTGTGTCCGTTTGTAAGGCGTTGGTGCATCACTTTTGAGCCTCTCTGTGAATATGGAAAGAGCTAGCGATATGGACACAACCAACCGGTATCTTACTCTTACTAATCTCAGGCGTTCGTAATGAAGTTATCACTGCGGTCCGTTCCGTTTGACTGTGACCTGATTCTCAAACGAACTCACTAATGTTATGTTTTCATGCCAAATGATGATAACACCGGCTGAGCTCATGACTGAGATTCACAGAGTGTGTTATGAAATATCAAAACTGGAAATTAGCCTCAATGAATTAAAAGGTAATGCGCATGCGCGGAGGGCAGGTGTGGATGGATGATAAAAAATGTGAATAGTTTAGTATTGCACACTTGTCAGCATAATACGTTAGTGTCCCGTAAGTGTTTTTTTTCGTATTATTTTTAAGCATTGGAAGCGCCCCATGAAATCCCAAATCTCATGTTTTGCTTTCAAGAACTGTTATAGAATATAGAATAAAATATATATATAAAAAAACTAACATACAATCTAAATATGAAATCAGACATTATTATTATTATTATTTATTAATATTTTTTGCCGATCAAATGTTTGTATTTCCTCTCTAAAAATCATGATTTTTGGCAATCTATAATATTTTAGTCAAGATCAGCTGGTATAACCTTGCTAGTTAGGCTACTGTAAAAACAATGATCATATCCTCCTGAGACCCAGCTATGGAGTTTTTGCCTCTGTAGTGGACATTATATTTTAGTGAATTTCTCTGAGACCTCACGAGTCACAGTTTTAAGTCTGGATGTCCTGTACAGAGCACATTCAGGGCTTTCCAGAGATACCAAATGATTGGATGTTTCACCGAGACCACTCCCTCTCCTTGGTTTTTAAAAATGGCTGACATTAATTTAGTGATAAAATTGTACATCCTTATGGAAATATGATCATATTTTGTAATTGCAATTTAAATCTGATTCATTTTCAAATTGTTTGTCATAAATCAACATCTCAGGAAAATGTTATGGGGTTTCAAATCAAAATATGACCTTCTGTTATGAAACAGGACATGATTTCATACATGTCCACTTTAGAGGACACCAGGACTAAAAGCATGTTTATTATACATTTTGGGAGACAAAATAATTGAATAGGAAAACAAATTATACATCAATATTCTTATGAAATATTAGATATTATTATGAAAATCTGGTCAATTACTACTCCCATTATTACACTTCTTTTTTCAACATGCTTTCCCAACAGCACTTTAATATGCAAATTAGATACAGTGTATAGATAACATTGTGCTTCATGGGAAAACCAGTTTATGGAATTTTTACACACATATTTCATAAAGCAAAATGGTATATCAAATCATTTTGCTATATATTTTATAACATAGTTGAGAACCATCCTTAAACAAAGTTAGGTATAAAAAAATCCCGAAACCTAAAAATTGATTGGTGATTTAAAAAAAAAATCCCATTGTTTTTGCCTTTTCATGTTTATTCTTGTCATTTTATTTTTAGAAAAATTGAGTCGTCGTGTCCTCTACAGAGGACATAGCATAACATATAAATGAAATATAATTAAAAAAAAAATTTATTTTATCATTTTTTTCATATGCTCTAAACAATGTAATGACATGAAAAAATACTAAATTCACAAAGCTTTTTATTTCTGGTTCTTAGGAGGATATACCTATTTTTCGGTAATTTGTGGGAAATATAACTGTATCATGAATTACACCCAGTGTTTGCTTCCAAACTAGCTTATCCAGCTCAATTTTGAATAAATGTTTTATTTATTTATTTAGTGTGCTATAATTTAGTATGACTTCTTTTATTATTAGTTTACAAAAGGAAAAATCATTCAAAAGTATAAAAATGATTTTATACTCTATTAATTGAAAGAGGCTTAAAGGCTGAAATGCATGTTGTTTTGTGCGTCAGTAAAAAAAAAACATCCAGTTCCATTAGAAACAAAGAAACATTGTTGCTCTACATCGGTTTCATAGACGTGTTCAGTCAATAGGTTACTGTATGTCATTACCACACAGATTAGACCTGCTTTTAAGCCACTTAGCTCACAGTATAGGCAAGAGTACATGCTAAACCAACTGTCCAAGCTGTTGGGGGTTAGAGAAAGAGATTTGCTTAGTAACTGAATCAGATAGTGTTGTCAAGATTCCTTAGTGGGTTAAACAAGCAGGCATGTAAGGTTAAGGACATTTTACAATGGAAAACAATACTAAATGTTATAATAAATATGTTAGACAAAAGTTTGAACAATATTTCAGTGGTTTATGTTCTGTTTGTTGGTTGGTAGCTGAAATAGTGAAAAAGCCTATGAAAAATCTGCATGAGTATTTAGTTCTGCATATGAATCTGTTATTCTGTAGTCTGTCACTGTATCAAGCTGACATGCGAACAGATGAGCAAAATCTCTTGCGCTGTCTAGACAGTCTGTAGAAAACCTGATGAAAAGTGTGCGTTAAACATGACGTGAGTATGGTTGTTTCATGTCACAAACACCTCTCACCTGTCTGCCTGTATGTTTGTGCTTTGTTTGCTCGGGTTTTACGGTAAACCATGTAACACATAGGGCTCAACAATAAGGGTGCCCTGATGAACGATTGCTTCAGTGTTATTTTATTATCATTGAGATAAAAAATTTGAATTTGTTTGATTTTAATGAGTTTTGAGTTAGTAATGCAGTAGTTGTTCTTGTAAATTTTTATTAAATATAGTTATTATTCATTTTTATAGCAGTTGTAGTTGTGGTTATTGTAGTACATAAAGTAGGCTAAATGAAAAAGAGAAATGTTGCATTGTCAACAAGCAATAAGATTTTTATTTTATTTTATTTTTAGTAAATAACCCTGGGCTGCTTGTGTCACAAAATATTACAATTGTTGATCATATTCATAGGTTTTACAGAGACCTTTTTGACCAGTTAAAAAAATGACGTGACTATTAAAAATGTTTTATTGTTGAGCTCTGCACACATTATAGCAAGATTATCGTTAAACCTTCAAAATCATATTTGCATCATTGAGGTTTGAGAACAATGCTTCATTTGAAATGCAAAGCAATAAAATCTAAGTCATTCTTTCTAAACTTTGAAGTTAATTTATCCTGAGGAAAAGTTTAAACTTTTATGAAAGTTAAATGCATGTCAGTTTTGCTGGGAAACAGGCCGTTTGTTTATCTCACCCTAACCGATCATTTAGAGAGAGCTGTGTCATGAGACCAGACTGAGTGTGTTAGTCACATGAATGTGTGTGTGTGAAAAGCACAGTCCACCCCACTGCTCTTTGATCTAATGTGTGCTAATGCAGGTTGGCAGAGTGAGAGGAGAAAGGCAAATGAGAGTAGCGGGTAGATGAGAGGGGAAGAGAGATGGAACGAGAAAAGACAAGAAGAGAGAAGGATGGAGAATGAGATGGATCAGAGGAGATGAGAAATAAGTCCCTGTGCGGATTTGACTGGCTCAGACAACAAAGGAAGTGACAGTGGAATGATTTGCTTCCACCTGTAGTAGCGCTCACTTCCAGAGTCTGTCTGTCTGCTGAATGGGCATTTTCACTGTAGGAAGATAAATATGTAAAATGGAAATATGAAACCTCTTTTAATATGCAAAGCTCATCATTTTTAGTTCAGCTAGAATATGTTGGTAATATGGAAATTGTTGTCTGTTTAAGAGAGAATAGATTAGTTTAGAATTCATAGTAAGCATGTCCGAATTATCAGTTGCAATCCCAATGTGCGCATTCTTATTTAAGGTTTTATTTTAAGGTGAGGTGTGTGTGTGTTTTTTTTTTTTTTCAGTATTCAAATTCTTAAAATACTTCATACATAAAATACTTAAAACATAGCAACATTATTAACCAGTGGTTTGGGGCAGGGTTATCTTTTTGATCAACCAATCACAGACAGAGATAGTATTTAAACAATCATTGAATTAAGTAATGTCTTACTACTTAATGAATATTATGCTGTAGAACGTATAAGTGAAACAAAATGCATTATTCCACAAAAAAGTTAACACGTTTTCAATAGAATTTTAGCAGTTATTAAAAAAATATACTGTATATATTAAAAATCGTGGCTCTCTTTCATACTGCAATTAAAAAAAAAAAAAAAAGTATCGTGCTATTGCTGCAGTATATTGTATTCATATTATACTAATCCGAATATAGCCAATGTACAGTTTTTAGCAGATATTTTATTTCATAATACAGAAAAATTGTCTTTATATATAAACGGTACTTACAGTTATTAACATTACAGAACAGGTTTCCAGTGCTTTATTACTGCACAAAAACGCAATTCCCAGCCATCACCGGCTTCTGAATAATTTTCAGCATTGGACAGGAAGTAGCATGACTGCCCGTTTCCTGTCCCAGGAGGCTCTGAGGTAATTTGAGCTCTGTGTACAGAGGTAATCTCATTGTCTGTGGTCAGCATCAGGAAAGACTTATTGGAAACCATCCTACATGAGCAGGAATATGATTCAGCTGGCCAGACAGAAAAACAACATGGAAAGTCATGCCAAGCAAGTTCATACAGTACATAAATGTTTCTCTTTCCAACTATGACCATAATCAGCTGTAGACTAACTAGCATGAAGTCTAGGAGTAGAAGTATTATTAGGAATATGTAATATGAAGGAATAACATACTACCATACAATTATTATTTCTGTTGTATGTGTAATTTCTATGCACAAATTAACCAGCAGTATTATTTGTTGTGATTTCTTTTTTCTTTTAAACTCTTTCTGAACTCATAAATTGATCCGATGTGCATTGTAAGAAGAAAAATAAAGACAGTAGAAAAAAGTTCTGATCATTTTCTGCCAGGACGTTATCTGTTAATTTTATGGATATTTCCTTTAA